AACGGGACGGGACGGGAAGGAGGACACAATTGAAAAAGTAATGAAGCACGATTAATAAAAACCCAGGGTAAGAAATTGGAGTTCAACCTGAAGATGTGAAAAGCAAAACAGCCTGCCACTGGCCCTTACCTCAACCTCAGTTTGAAAATAGTCATCCTTCTTCCAGGAATCTCAGAATAAGACTATGTTGCACTTGATCTGCTACGAGACTGTGGTGGAGAATCTCAGCTGGTTGCACTCACCCACCCCCACGAAGTCCGGCCTCCAGCGCTGGCTCACCCAGAACACTATGACTTCCCTCCCAGACCCCAGGGCCAGCCCTGACAATAGGAGGTGTTTTACCACTTTCAAAATGACCCTGGCTTGTGTCAAGTCTACAAAAGCTACCTGGCACATAAATGCAGTATTATACACCTTCGCATTATTTAATAAGTACAGATTTAGAAGACCCATAAATCTTTGTAAGGCAACCATGAGAAATGGAGGAGGGGAATACTGTGTCTCTGGCACAACACAATGCTCATAAACACAGGTATTGGATCATGTTATTCTTATTCCCTTTAGGTCTCAAACCACAGCTATCAAAATCAAGAAACAAAAGTAAACACTAGAATTTATTTTTAACTTATTTTAAATAAAATTTCATTTAATAACCAGTCTCAAATGGCAAATTATTACAGTCAACTCTCAATTACTCATTAGTTTTACTATGAAGACGCTCAACTATTAGTGCCCGACACAGCAAGTTAATCAGTCTCACAGAACTTCTCTTCTTCTCACCTGCTAGTGTAGTTGATAGGACTAATAGGTATTTGCTAAATTTTAGAACTCAACAAATATACTTTGAAGGTAAAACTAAACTTTTACCAAGAGCAGCAAAATATTAACAAATGACTGGTTGGATTCTGCTAGAGCTGGCTTGGCTATCCAGTATTTAAAATGGCCTGAAAGCAATTGCTAATTTACCAACACAGAAAAGCAAACTGCCAAATTCCACATTATTTCATAGGTATAACTTACGAATTAGTGCCACACGTTTCTCCTTAAGACCAAAGTTCCCTGATATCACGGTAAATATGCTTAAAGGCTCAAATAAACTGTACTGAAAAAGTTGAGAAAAATATACTGAAGAACTAGTTGGCTCATAGTGTATGTATACTGGAATATCAGGAAAGCAATGACCATCAGGATTCTTACAGAAAAGTTCAGACCTACCTACCACTGTCTAAACTGACCACATACCAAATATGAACAGAATTGTTCTCTGGACTGACAAACTCTTAAATTAAGAGGCAAATATCTGAAGATTGTATGAAGGCCAGTCTCAGATGAATTAGTCATCAAAACAGGAAAGCAGCCAAACACAGCCTGTCACAACACAACTACTTCTGAATATTAAGAATTTCCTAAACTTTCATATGCTTGAAATATTTTTAAGTTTCTTCCCAATGACTTTAAAACAAAGAACAGGAAGTGGCACTGGAACGATGGCACAGTGGCTAAGAGCAGTGGCTGCTCTTCTAGAGGACACAAATTTAACCCCCAACACCTACATGGCAGCTCACAACCGTCTAAAAGATCTGATGGACATTCTTCAGAACGCACATGGTGCACAGACATATATGCACGCAAAATAACAACACACACAAAGTGAATTGTTAAAAACAGGAGGTATGGGGGGCTGGAGAGATGGCTCAGAGGTTAAGCGCATTGCCTGCTCTTCCAAAGGTCCTGCGTTCAATTCCCAGCAACCACATGATGGCTCACAACCATCTGTAATGAGGTCTGGTGCCCTCTTCTGGAAAGCAGGCAGAATACAACAGACAAAATATTATATACATAATAAATAAACAAATATTTTTTTAAAAAAGTAAAAAAAAAAAAAACAGGAAGTAAGGCAGTTTGCTCCACTATGATTAAACTATCCTGCTGCAATTTGATTTCGATAATCAATTCTTTTCTTCTTAGAAAATTCTTATTCTGTAAAATAAAATGCTTTAGATGCTAATTCAATTATGCATAAAAATAGCTTTAATGATCTATTTAAATGTTTCAAGACATTATAATGAACATCCTAGGTATTTATCTTTTAAGATCCAAGGCACCTTTAAACATTTATACTGCTGGGAGTGTAAATACTGAATGTTTTGTTAACATTTGTTGAAACCGGGTCTCTCGTGGCCTTGAACTCTTGTTCCTAGCTACACCTCCCAAGGGTAGAATTACACACAAGCCACACCTCCTGGTCAGGTATTTTAAAATAATCACTCAGTTAATTTTGAAAACTAACTTCAAAACTGCTTTATGATAAAGGCATTCAGGAACCAGTGCTTGTCCTCACACCAAATGGTTTTATTATCAAACTCTTGGCTGAGTGTGGTGGTACATAGTTAATGCCTACATCAAGTCAAAGTCAGAAGCAAGCAGATCTCTGGGAGTTAGGCCAACCTCGTCTATATATAAGGAATGAAATCTACAATAAAGTCCTGTCTCAAATGGTTGAGGCTAGAGGAGTGCCCTGTTCTTGAGACCAGCCCTGGCAATGAAGTACAGTCCACACCAGCAGGGGCTGAAGAAAGACCAAACCCACCTCTCCTGTTCTCCTCTTAATAAGCATATACACTTACCGTTAGTTTTACTCAGTTACAAACCAGCAAAGAACATTTCTGCTACAACTGAAGCATGAAAGATGCATGGAAGAGGTTGTTCTTTTCGACATCAGCGGTTTAAAATATTGCCTGAATTTTCAAATCACATAAAGGCTTTATATTCCATACTAGAGGTACTTTCCAGGAACATGAGCATCGAACAGGTTATGTCTGTTTTTACTTAAAGATTTAGTATACTTAAGAAAAACGGTTGTAACAAAACTGTAACATTTATCATCTATACCAAGAACACACAGATATTGTTAAGGGCATATTTACAAAGTAACTGCAGATCTTTATGGATACTTTCAAAGAGCAATATATAAAGCCAGGTACATAACAGACATAATCATTAACTAAATGACCATAAACCACACATCAATGAGCATGCATGTAATCAGAACACTGAAGCAAGTTTGAGATTAACTGGTCTATATACTAAGTTCCAGGCCAGCCTGAACTAGTTCTGGTAATGTCTCAGGCTTGCTTCTACTCCCAGCCAAGATTCACACCCCAATAATGTCCACTGATGTGGGAGTCCCTTCTGTATGTTGCTTGTATTGGTTAATGAATAAAGACACTGCCTTGGTCTGATAGGGCAGAACTTAGGTGGAGAAGACAGAACTGAATTCTGGAAAGAAGAAAGCAGAGTCAGAGAGACACCATGGATCTGAGGCCAGAGGTAAGACGTGCTAAATTTTACCCAGTAAGCCACTACCGCATGGCAATATACAGAATAGAAATGGGTTAAAGTAAGATGTAAGAGTTAACCAATAAGAAAACTAGAGCTAATGGGCCAAGCAGTAATAGAGTTTACTGTGTGGTTATTTCGGGGCTACTGGGCGGCCAGGACAAACAAGTGGGCCCTCCTGCAACAGTCCACAATTGCTGTTCTATAACCTGCTTACTTAGCTGACAATCATTTCACCATCTGTGCCTGGCAATGTTCAAGCACGCATGGGCAACCCATTTACGGCAGTTCTGCAGTTCTCCAGTTCTATCCTGGGCAGTCCTAGATGCAGTCTTCCTTTATGCTGTCTATCCAGCATTTTTGGGGCCTTCCTCATGGCCTTAATCCTGTGCACTCTTCCAATCCGTGCTATCTTGCTATCGTTCATTGCCGCACTTGGTTCTGAAATCAACCTCAACAATGCAATGAAACCCGAGCCTTAGTCAAAGCTGAAAGCAAAGCCAGTAAGAGTGTTTTAAAGTATTCCACTGACTTCAAAACCAGCATTTCATTTACTTTAAACCAAACAAAAGTTTTACTTTTCATTTTATTTCAATTTCATTTACTTTTCATTTACTTTAACCCAAACAAAACTCTCCAATTAATGTTTCCAAACATAACATTAATTACTTTATTTTCTATTTTCCCCTTGTTTTAAGACAGGTTCTCCTTCTGTAGACTGATCAGACTAGACTTGGCACGAAGCAATCATCTGCCTCAGCCTCCCAAGTATTGCAATTACACGAGCCACATGTTCAGGATCCAATTATTAACATTTTAAATTATTGACATTCTAATGACCCTTAAATATGTAAGTGGATTTCCAGCTACATTCAAGTTCTATTGAAAAAAGAATCCAAAAGGTATTGTCATTTAACAACTACTTTTAAACTTTAGATTAAATTCCTATTTTTAAACTATTATTAATCTGATGAATTGGACTCATAACCCACTATTTGAAATACAAAGAAAAACCCTGCAGTGATGAGATTTGCTGAAACAGAGCAACACCTTCAATAATAAACTCAGTCTGAACATCAAAATCCACTATGTTCAAACATGAAAAATGACTTTGCACACCACTAGCTTCTCTTTAAAAATAGATTTAAAAGGCTCAACAGTTAACATGGATTTGGTTCCGAGCACCCACAGGGTAGTTTATACCTACATAACTTTGGTTTTCCCAGGGATCGGATGCCTTCTTTTGGCCATCATGAGCACCAGGCACACACATGGTACACATATACACATACAGGCAAAACATTCATGCACAGAAAATAGTAAATTTTTAAAATTACTTTTATTTGTATGTGTATGTGTGGGTCCTACCATATGGGTCTCAGGGTTTGTGGAAAGCACTGCATCTTCTGGGCCATCTAACCAGCTACAGACTTGTTTCAATACATACAACAATCAGGGCATCACACTGAAATGTCAGTATGTCTTTTTTTTTATTAACCATTAGGAAAAAAAAAGCTGAAGAAAGGCTTCCATGTAAAAGTGAAACAATACATTGGAGTCGAATTCAGAATAATACCTTTTTTCTAGTTTAGGAATTAATGTGGAAATTTGCCCAAAAAAGTTAAGCCAAGAATACTGAAACTGAATCAACCTTATTTTTTCTATAAACTGAACTAAGTATCAACTAATATTTTAAAACACAATCTCACTGATCATCTGTGCTTTAAGTAAATCATCATTCTGGTCACATTCCTGCTATTCTTTGAGCTCCCCAAGAACTCTGCTGTGCCTACACGTGAGTAGACAAGAGTTAAGGAATGCGGTTGTGAAATGAGCACTCCACCCAGCCCACATACTCTCCTGGCTAATCAATCCTGCTCACTGAACGTTCATCCACACCTCTCAATACTTAAATGTAACGACCGAAAATGCAACCCACCATTATCAATGTTTTGAAAAGACAGTCTTTTCCTCATTAGTTATTGACTTAGGTCCTTAGAGTCCAGCAGAAAAATATCTGTAATTATTTATGATAATGAAAAATGTTACCAATTTTATTTACTAGGTCTCTGCTGGGGAAAAAAAGGAAACCTTAAACAACAAAAGGAACTGGCTTTACAACTGCAATGTCCAAGCAGCAGTTAAACTAAGTTTGAAACTAAGATCATCCACTGATTTTATTCAAAAAACAAGCCAAACATAAAATACAGCCAGGTGTGGTAGCAAACACCTGCAACCCCAAAACTCTGGAAGCAGAGGCAGGAGGATCATAAAAGTTCAAGGCTAATCTGGGCTACACAGAGAAACCATATCTCCATAACAAAAACAAAAAACCCAGGTGAAACAAATACATGAAGCCAGGCACTATTTGGTAAGATTTACCAACAGTTTAATTATATATCCTGTTTTTTTAAGCCAGACAAAACATTATATATATATACACACATATATGTATATATATATATAAAAAGGGCAGATTCAAATTTAGTTTTCAGCGTATGTGATAAAACCAGGTTATGTCTATAGAGGTTTTATAGTACAACCTACAATGAAAATATCCAGGCTAACTCTCCATTAAGAAGAAACATATGAGGCACATTTTCTAGTGGCTGGGATCCTCTTCCAAACCAAAAGAAAAAAAAAAGGTAGCGGCATGTAGTATTTTCTGGTTCTGATAATTTTAATTATTCTGGACACTTTAGAAAATAAACTCATGTTTTAACTAAATACAAAACTATCTGTTGCTTTATTTGTAGATACAGGCGCCTACAAATATCCACAGTAAGTCATGAAGTACTTTTACTATCCAAATGGATATTTTGATATTAACTATATACAAATGCTTCTATTAAACAAAAAAATGGTATTCACAAGAAGCTGCAGAAACTCATGCAATTAATGAAGGCTGAACTTTATAAATTAAAAGTCTTCTATACATAATGTACAAACAGTCATGCATTTAAGAATACTATACCTCATAAGAGCACATTTTAATAGGCAAATGCTGTCGCTATTTGTCAATACCAAATGAATGGAATGTGAGTAAAAGAAGCATTGTTATTTTAACTACCAACAAGTTGAAAGGGTATTTCTTCAAGTAGTCTACATATCTACACATCTGAAGGAAATGGTCTCTTCTGTTTCACCAGACACAACAAATATAAATATTTTGGAAAAATATAAACACCTTTCAGTTCAATAAAGTGTAAATAAAACTTCTCTATCTTACTTAAAATATCTGTATTATGAGCTACACCAAAATATGCATGAGTTAAAGTATGAAAAAAAAGTATGTGTATCTCATTTGCTTTCAAGTTTCAGTAACATTTCTTAAAAAACTATGTATACTGGCCAAGAAAATACATTAGGGAGTATCTTTACTAATGAAATTATAAAATTGACCTAATAATTCATTATCTTCAGGATTTGTTATCTTATCAACTTTGCAAAGTTTCTTTTTAAATGGTGCAGATATTTCTAAAAGCCAAAAAATAAAAATCTGGTGGTGAAAAACTTTACAATTCTCTTTAAAATACTAAGAATTTTCATGGGCTGGTGATCTCCAACGTGACTGTAGATTTCTTATTATAGAGTTTGCCATGGTACCAAGTTTCTCATGCATTTCAAATAGCTGGCTTCCAGAGTAACTGTAGAGATCTTCTGAATCCAGCTGAAGAGCAAGAGCACTAATCTGTGCCACAAGATTTTTAGACAATGGGGTGTCTAAGGTCACAGGATCAACCAAATCTAGAAAAAAAGCAAAACACGTTAAATCTATCATTTTTTTTTAAATGATCTGTATCTCCAATCAAATTGAAAAGGAAAGAAAATAGGCTAAGGTATACATTTGCTCAAGAAAACAAAAAGCAAAGTCTACCTCAGATGGTTATTCTGTGTATGATATAACTGAACAGAATTTCAAAGTCCTTATTTACACCTTGACAAACTTTTTTTTATGTAAAGACGTGAAGAAAGTTAAGTTTTTTTCAAGAATGTTTGTTTTCCAAAAGAAACTATCATGCTTGGATAGCATACCTGAGGCAAGTCGTTCTTCATCAGTTGAGAGGGGCTTGCTTTCTACTCCATTTACTGCCCTTTCAGAAAGATCAAAAACTGGTATCTCTTCAAGTCCACGAGATTTCATCTTGATTATACATTTACATCAGTAAAAAAGAGAAATAAAAAACAAAACTAACTTTTAACTGGAATGACATGAAAGCCCCACAGTCCATAATCCATAAGCCACCCTACTAACGACACAAAGATAGTATTACAGCAAACATGATGGAGCAATTCTGTAATCCCAGCACTCTGGAAACAAATGCAGGTGCATCTGTAAGTTAGATGCCAACCAGGGATAAAGTCAGTCTTGACCCAAGTATTTCCTCAAAGAGCACAGAAATTTATAATATATTAATTTCTTAAGAAACAGCAGTAATTAAGTTCAGAAATGTAGAAAAAATAACTACGGCTAAATAATCAGTGGCTATGTTTTATTTTCAAAGCTACCAACAATTCACTTAGCAGAGCACTGCCCAGCATGAATTGAGGCCCTGGTCAAGGGCCAAAACCAGAATGAAACTCTCAAGGTAGTCTCAGGTTTCAGGGAGCACTGCTCCAAGAAACTACTATTTAAAAAGTTGTCATGACTCCATAATCCTATTGAAAGGCACAAACAATGTGAAAACACCGCCACATAAAAACTTGGATCTGAACTGTGGGAGGATTTCTTATGAAAACCAAAGAAGCAAACCAGAAGTCCATCAATTGAGGAACGAGTAAAGAAGATGTGGTATACCCCTGGAATACTGATCAGCCATAAAGAGAGGAAGATTCTGACATATTGTAGTAATAAACCTAGAAAAGTGCACGTGCACACACAAATTTATAAAAAACTTCCTGAGATTGCAAATTAATCGCATAGTGTCTGGGTTTTGCTTGCTTCTTTATACAATTAACATGGTCAACAAAAATGTTTTTAAGTATCAGAAATACAAAAATCAAGTAATTTCAAGAATACAGTACATAGTACATACCCTGAATAGATGTTTGAGAATCTAAACTTTGTCCCAAGATAAATATAATATGGATCGGAAGAATTATGAAAGTCATACAAGTACTATGTTTTTTTAAAAAAAAAAAAGCTAGAGCTTGTCATCTCAATTACACACATACAAGAAAAAAAAAAAAAAAAAAAGCCGGTGTGATGGTGAATGCCTTTAATCCCAGCAGAGGGAAGCGGATCTCTGAGTTCAATGAGAACCTGAGTGAGTTGCAGAACAGCCAAAGATACGCAGAGAAAACTTGTCTAGAAAACACAAAAGACTAATGCATAAATTTGCAGTAGTCTTAGACACATTTGGATTTGAGCACCTACGTCTTGGGAATACTTTAGCCATGGAGCCACCAGTTGGCAAAAATTAAAAAGGAGAAAAGATTTTTGAATAAAATTTAAAAATGAGTCTAGGATACAGTACATAAAAACAGAATTAAAAAAAAATAAAGCTCCCACTGAGGCACAGAAAGAGTTTTGAACAATAATCTAAATGCAAGCTTTTATTACTTTGGTAGAGCTCTTTTTGCTGGGTTCTCTCTCTCGTTCTGTGACCCAGACTGTACTCAAGAAGTGTTGATCCAGCTATCTCTGCTTCCTAGGTACTGAGATTAGAGAGGCACAATACCACTTCCAGATGAATCGCTTACTAAAATATGACTCTTGGGCTGGAGAAAGAGGTCAGCAGTTACGAGCACTGGCTGTTTTTTCAGAGAACATGGGTTTGTTTCTCAGCACCTCCAGGTCTGCTCACAAACATCTGTAACTCCAGTTCCAAGGCATCTGGTGCCCTGTTCTGGCCTCTGTAAGCACTGCACACATGTGGCACACAGAATACACGTATGCAAAACACTCAAATAACAAGTTTTTACCTGTTGCTCGTGGTATACCCTGAGAGCCTTTTTTACATTAAACACCTTTGGAGAGCGAATAGGGAGAGTTTTTATTTCAGATGCGGTAAGAGTACTCAAATCACCAATTGTTTTTATATTCTTGGCTCTGATAAGTTGTCCTAGACCTCTTGCCCTTTTGAAGAAAAAAAGAAAACATAATTATGCTTTTAACTGATATCTGTGAGCACTTCTCCATTTAAACTCAAAGAGTTTATTCATATAGTCCACCCAGCCCACACAAGCTGGGTGAACAAGCATCTGGGGAATATAAAATGAAACTAGAATCTTAATGTGTACCTGGCTTAAGAACTAATGGAAATCCAGTAATTCTCGGTAGTCTACATTTTAGTAACAGCATAGCTGTGTTCTCACTGCTGCACTGGAACAGACAGGAATAGCAGGATGGGAAACTCGTTTTCACACCACAGCTTCTGGTCTATGGCTCAGACATTTCATCAACTGTAAACTATTTCCATTTAACCTATCCTATCCTAGATCCTTTTTAATGTGACTTCCTTCTATGTGCATGTCTGAAATAATTCTTTAGAGGACTATAAGGAATGTCTTAATTAGGAATTATGCCGGGGTTCAGACTAGTAACTTAAAAAATTACCATTTAACAAACAAGTTATATGTAACAATTCTCTTAAAACTTAGCAGTCTGGGGCTAGAGAATGCTCAGTGGTTAATAGCACTTGCTGCACTTCCAGAGGACCCAGATCAATTTCCAGTATCCACGTGTCAGCTCACTGGAGCAAATCCAGTTCTAACATATATAAATACCATCTTCAAGTCTCCTATGGTACCAGGATCACATAATATACAGACATACATGCAAGCAAAAAACTCATAGGTAAATTCAAAATGATATGAATTATATTTCTAAGACCCATAACAGGATATAATTGAAGCACAAAAGACCTTCTCTACACGACAACTTCCTTAGCTATGCAATGTTTATAGACTAACCTCTCTAAGCTTCTACTTTACAATGCTTCTGCTCCTCAGGTTTACAATGGGACAGAACCAGATATGTATACAAACCGTGCCAACACCGTGGGAAATACTAAGCACTTATTCATATTAGAATGCAATGCCTAGTTTTACTTCTATAGCAAAGTGAGAGAGTAAATGCCAATTAATTCTAAATGTGAGAAGCCTGACCATTAAGACATTAAGTCAGGCCTGGCAATTCAATCCCGTGTAACAGCATGGACAAGAGGATCCAAAATTAAAGGACACAGAACCTGTGTGTGAAGCATGAAGTTCATACAGTTAAAGCTCATGAAGGTATTTTATTTTAGTGACCCTCCACATTGTCTTTGAAATTTAGTCCTTGTGGGTCAACAATCCACAGGGTCACAAAGTTCTGGCTAACATCAAACTGTGTTCTGCTGTGTAATAAAGGATGCCCATGCCCTTGCCCTTGCAATTCCCTAAGAATTACACAGGTTTCAGATCACCTCAAACTCATGGACTGTGTCGCCAGGAATGCTCTTGAGCTGGCCCTAACGTTCCTGCACCAGCACTTCTGGCTTATGTAGTACTCAGGCTGAAACCCATACCTTCATTAATGCTAAGCAAGCACTCGCATCAACTGAGCCTCGACCCTAGCCCCCGATTACCCTCATCATTACTGCAAAAAACTAAAATGTCATCCCAAGAAGGCCAATGAACTGGTAATCCACCTGGCTCAGTTTTCCTTAGTAGTTGGACTACATCCTCAAACTGGAAGTCTTAGCAAAACAATGGCACAAAATAAAGTTGAAAAACAAAAACAACAACAAAAATCCCTTCACCTCAGAGTATGAACCATAAACTTGACCACTCACCACATGTTTGATGTAATCTGAGGTAAAATGATGTCGACTGATGCTGCACAGTTCACCAAAGCTGGGTAAACGCTCTCTGTTGTTGGGGATAGCATGGGTTCTTTGGCCATTTCTGTAATCTTAAAATAAATTTACAAAGTCATTAAGCAGAGGTTACGAGACTGAACATGAAAGTATAAAGTTACATAAAAACTAAAACACTTCTTACTAAACACTTCTTTGAGCTCTTAAATCTAGAGCTCTGTGATCCTGGGGACAGAAATCCTTTGGCTGAAGTGGTATTATGCTAGACAGAAGAAAGTAGAGGGAAAAAAAATTCAGAACCCCAGACAACTAAAATGTTACAAATTAAATTGTACAACTAAAAGCCTCTGTAAATCTTTTGGAAATGAAAATGGAACAGGATAACCTAAGATTTACCTGTGGGATAGCTGACTGGCCTTAAGCCTCTACAGGAAAAGCAATCCATCAAAGCAAAGCAATCTTCAAATACAAGTTTTATTTACAGAAATACATATACACATATTTTAAAGTCCATAGCTTACCTTAGAGTGTGAAGCAGGTGAAGTTTTAGCACTTTTTACTAAGGGAGAGCTATTTGAAGAATGAGGCCTAGCAACAGAGCAGCGCCTATCAATGTCATCTGCCAATCCTGCTTGGTATATTGGATCTGCAAACGAAACACGCCTAACCTGGAAGTACAAGTTTTCATTAAGAACAAGACAAGTTTTCATTAAGAAGGCAACATCCTACCTAATGTGTTGAGTTTCTGCAAAAGCAAAGCAAGACAAGTGTTTCTAAGCTTACTTCACTAGAAGCCTCCTGCACAGTTGTTCCGCCTTTTAGATACTGCTTACTACTGCAGGTCATTCTAACTATACCCTCCACTCTCTCTGAAGTGACAGAAGTTAAAAATGTACAATGAACAGAGTGTGATGGTTCAAACCTTTTAATCCCAGCACTCAGGGGGCCTTAAAGACAAGTAGATTTCTCTAAGTGTGAGGTCAGTCTGGTCTACATAGTGTAGTCTTTCAAGTTTCAAGCCAGTTAGGGCTACATACTAAGACCCCGCAATAAAAAAAAAAAAAATCCAGGATTGGTGGTACTCATGTAAGCTCAGCAACTGGGAGACTGAGGCAGGAGATCTCCAAAGGGAAGCCAGTCTGGGGCTACCTTTGCCTCAAAATTAAAACAAGGGCTAAAGAGACAGTTTAGTGGCTAAAAGTACTGCTGCATAATCATGACATCCAGAGTTCAAATCCAAGCACCAACATTAACGAGTCGTTTTACAAAAGTCTAACTCCAGCTCCAAGGGTCTTGATTTGCTCTCTTCTGGCCTCACCAACACTGGCTTGTGCATAAACTAACACAAACACACACGGATTATTCCTTTATGCTGATGTGTCACTAAGACTGGTTTAATAAAAAGCAACATGACCAGTAGCTAGAAAGGAGGTGTAGGTGGGATTTCTGAACAGGGAAAGCTCTGAAGAAAGAGTTGACAGCAGCCAGATGTGGAATAACCAGGATGAGTGTAATAAAGATGAGGTTCATAAAGAACATAGATTTAAAAATACGAGTTAAATTGTAAGAGCTAGTTAGAAACAAGACTAAACTAAGGCTGAGCTTTCATAATAAGTTTCTGTGTCATCTTTTATGAGCTGATGGCCCTTAAAGGAAGGTCAGTCTACTTGCACACACACAAAATCTGTAAGAATACTGTATAATTTGCATAGCCAATTGGTTTACAGACTACAGACAATAACAACTGGCTTTAGTCATTCTCCTAAACTTGTGAAAGTGTGTGTGCGCACACATACACACTGACCCATGACTATATGTAGAGATTAGAGAACAACTTTGAAGGGAAGGGCGTTGTTCCTCAGATGTTGTACAACTTATTTTTGTGAGATGGAGCCTCTCATTGGCCTAGAACTCCTTAACAGACTAGGCTTACTGAGCAGCAGATCACATGCCACCAAAGCCCAGGATTTTTATCTTCAGTGTGGGTTCTGGGAATTGAACTCAGGTCCTCGTGCTTGCCTTGCAAGCACTTTACCTAAGCTATCTTCCTACCCCTGCTCTAAACTCTTTGAAAGCAATACAACTATCGTGGTGACAAGGCAGCAATCTTAACTATTTTAACCTCACTGTGGCTAATTTATTTGGCTTCTCTAAAGGTCTACAATATGTTCACATTGAGCTACAAAGAACTCATAATTATTATTATCATTCCATATCATCTAGGATTGATTTTAAAGAATGGGCAACATCTAAGTATCTAAAATATACCCTGTTTTGCCTTAGGCAATAAACCTGTCCTAAGGTATAACAAGACTTTAATCCCAGCACTCAGAAAGCAGCGCCAGGTTGAAGATGTCTGGTCTACAGAGATGGTTCCAGAACAGACCGAGAAACCCTGTCAAAAAGACCTAAAACAAACAAAAAGAAAACATCACACTGTACTTTTAAGGGCTCAGCACCCGCATCAAGCAGCTTACAACTCCCGATGCCTCTATAGTTTTCATAGGCTCCTGCACTCCTGTGCAGACCCTAAAACATACATGTAACATATACATTAAGTAAAAGTATAAAAATAAATCTAAAAAAGTGCCTGCTGGCCAATTTCCAAAAGACTATAACCCTAGCTAGCTGAGGGCCATATATGTAATATGCATGGATTAGAGTGACCTTTAAGGCATCATGTTTCAGAACATATTTAGTAAGTGCTAAGCCTTTCTATCGACAGCAATCATGATGCCTAGCTCCTTAAAACTGGTTCCATATATTGTATCACAGAGAAAGGTACTAATAGGACCCATTCAGTATGCTAACAGTGGCCCACATACACACCTACATCAAGTTGAGTGTGGACAAAAAGACTACTTGAAAGGCTTCCTGTCCTTTCCACAGCACATAACCAGTGAGTGGCCATGACCCTTACACCCTTACCCTTTACTAGGTTTCGCCCAGTGACCACATATCCAAGCAAACATTACTCATTACAGTCAGCAACATTCCTACCTTGTTAACTGGTGATGACAGCTCATCTTCGTGGTATCTTTTGAGTCCTCTCTTTAAGATGCTTGTGGACGGAGAAGCCAGTGGCGACCAGACACACCGTGCTTGCATACCACTAGGACTTTCAGTTGCTGATCCAAGGGAGGGATCCAGCTCTCCTAATTTTTCAGGAGAAGCATTACTGCTTTCTGCTACCAGTTCAAAAGTCATTTCGGATGTCAGAGACTGTGGGAATTCCTCCACTTTCTCTGAAGTGAAACAAACTTCCTGCAGAATATCACTACCCATTACAGTCTGATTGTCACTTGATTTTGTCTCATCCAATTGATTAAGTTCAACTTCTGTTTCAGTTTTGTAATAAACAGTTCCTTCTTCAGAACTCCTATCAAGTGCGTCACAAACAAAGCTTTCGGTTTTGACATCTAGTTTTCCAACCGGTGCTTCTTCAGGTGCAGGGGTGCTAACACTCATGTACCTATCCTCTTCCCCAGTGTTGTCAACTTCAGACTTCAATTGAGCTATCACTGGTGCTTTGTAATTTTCCATTTCTTTGTTCATTTCCTCACATGAGCCTGAATCAGACTTAACACTATCCCCCTCTGGTTCTGCTCTCGCAGGATGCTCAGTCTGAACAGTCCTTTTGCTTAAAGGTGTCATGTTATCAGAAAGACTCATACCAGAATTAAAACCCTCAGGGGCTTTTCCTTCAGCATTCATTTCGGTTGTGACTGTTTCAAATTCATCTTTATCATCTTCCTCTGGTGCCGTATCTACAGAAATATCCATTTGGGCACTCTCTTCAGAGATGGCAGTTTCAAATGTGTCGTTTCCTAGATCTAATTCCATAGCTTCAACACCCTCTGAACTGGATCCTGCTATTACTTTGGATACCCTCCCTAAGTCACTAACATCAAATTCTCTTTTCAGAATTGCTTCTGAACTTTCTACTTTGTTATCTAAAGAATATTTCTCTGAAATATCCTTGGAATCACTTAAGCATGGGTCTTCAGCATTAAACTTCTCATTATATGACTTTTGGATTTCAGATAGTGTTTCACTAGAATCTGTATCATGAGGGTTTTCTTTTACCATTTCAGATGGCAGATTTTTTCTATCTTCTTCCAACCCAGTTTCAGATCTAATTAAATCACTAGTACCATTCTCTTCTTTAAGACCCAAATGAAAACTCATACCACGATGTTCATCTACCAACTTTGCTTCAGCAAGCTCATTAGTTTCACAGGTTTCAGGTACTTGCGTATCTGTAGTCTTTGTCTCCGTGCTCTTCATAGCACAACTTTCTGTGTTCTTTAACCCAATAAATGTCTTTTCTTGATACTGTGATTTTTCCCCACAGCAGTCACAGCCCTTCGATCTCCTGACTCTCCTGCTTCTCTTGTGTTGGCATTCAACTGCTTGGCTCCATTTCTCAGAAGGCACAGAAATGTCTGATGTCTCCATTTTTGAGCAGTCTCCCACACCGCTATCAGTATCTCGTAATCTCTTTATGGCATTCCTAGTCCTGAGATTTGATTCAGGCACAGGAGTAACTGCAAGTGAGTTGCCTACGCATTTGCTAGTCTTACTTGTGTCCTCAGTTGTAACTGGCGAATCAGTAACTTGCAGTGAATCTGAAGGCCCAATAGACTCCTGAAGAATTACTCTATTTGTATTTTCTTCAAAAACCTGAGCCGCTGTTTCTACATCAACTTCATGAGTCTCATCCGCAGTTTTTATACATTCATCTTTGACCACCTTTTCTTCTTGTTCTTCAGTATCAACACTGTCACTGCTTTTATTTTTCCATTTCCCAGATCGTTTCTTTCTAGAAACTTCTTCCTTTGCCTCAGAACTATCAGATTCTGAGTTTTCAACACTGGAAAGCAACCCCTGAGATGCTCTTCTTGTTTGGTAACGTGTACGTCCTCTCAAAGGTTTCTCAGATGACTTATCTACACTGTCCTGGGTACCACCTCCCTCGGAACTAATGTTCTGGTTTGGCTTTCTTTTATTTTGATCAACTTCAGCATTACCACTGGGTTCTTCTAAAGTTTTATCATGTAAACCATTTCCCTTTTCAGTCAAATTTTCCTGTGTAAGGGATTCAGCAGTTAGTTTTTGCTTAGGCAACTTGTCATCTTTTATATGTAGAGGACTCTTCGAAATTGTTTTCTCTTCTTCCTTCCGTCTTTCCTTTTTTTGTTGAACGTTATCCTTATCTTGGCTGTCCGTGTAAGACTCTACTATATCTGAACGACGCCTTGAAGACCGTCTGAGGGTTTTTGGATTTGGGGCTACTGCAGCTTGACTATCTTCATTTACTATTTGATCTGCTGGTGCTGGAACTGGGAGTTTATTTTCTTTAGATCCCATATTAATGCCTATGTTTTTCTCTTCTGTTGAGACTTCTAATAAAGCATTTTCTACCGCAGGTTTGGTATTTCTATCTTCATGCTCTAGGGTAGCTCCAGAAGGATGATTGTGATTATCTGACACACATTCTGCTTGACTGAGCAAATCAGAAGGGTTATTTTCTAATGCATGTTCCTCCTGTTCAGATCTCAGTGAAGGCTTAGACGTTTTATTAGTCAACTGCTCAACTTTACCCCACCTCCGGCCTGATTTCTTACCACCATTCACTAATTTTTCTGAATCAGATTTTGAGGAAGTCATTTCTCTTTTCCTTGCTTTTGGTGGCGTATCAGTTTTAGTTGTGTTTTCTTGGTTATTTCTCACTGTAATGGTGGATGACATGTCATTCAAAGGGGATGGGCTAAAAGGTCTATTTTCTGAACCATCAAATTTCTCCAGGGTAATAAAGGTTTGTCTCCGACTCACAGGCTGTGGAGGAGTTCCAGAAACGGTGGCATTAGAAACTGAACTACTACTGACCACCAGTGAACTTTCTATACTAGAACATTCAGCTGACACTATCTTTGATGAAATTAACATGTTTTTTGTCGCATCAATATCGGGGCTCAGTGCATCTGAATCGGTTCCAGCAACAGAACAAGAGTCATTTGGTAAAGAAGCCTTTTCAGGATGTACATCCATACCAGAATTTTCATCTTGAGAGATGAAAACAGCACTCTCCGTTTGCTCTTCCTACAAAAAAACATACAAATAACAGAGTAAAACATTAGTTTTTTTTTTTTGGAAAATTTAAATATAATACAGTGGTAATCAAGGTTTTCTTGGAAAACTTAAGTGTAAACTTTGGTAATTTAATATACTAACATTTAAAATACTGAAAAAGTTTCAAAATCAGCAAAGAACTGTCAGTGTGCTTTAAATTGACAGTGTTCAATTAAAGTTACAACTGAGGCCAGGATTACTGGGAGGCAGAGGCAGAAGCCTGAGAAGAACCACTCCACAGGAGCTCCAGGCCATCCTGGACTTTTTCAGTTCCAGAAGTTAGTTACACATATTTATGTGCAATTAATTCATTAGCGTACAGGTCAAAGTTAGGAGATTGTTATTTTATCAATGAAACAAAGATCTACAACAACCTTATAATTTACTAGACCTCAAAACAGAAGGATGACTGATTTTTGAAAAACACCAAAGCATCAAATGTTGCTTATACCTTAATTACCTTGGCATCTTCTTTTGGTTTTTCAGTTAAAGCGTGGCTTTCCCTAAGATAAACAATTATACAAATTAGATTATTTTTTAATTAAATAATTATGAAACTAGTCATAAAAGTTTTGTACTTACATAGATTCTTCTTGACTAAACTGAGCAGAAAATAAGGTGTCTTGTGAAACATCCAGATTATTATACAATGCAGGAATATCACACCTAAAAAAAAAAATCTTATAAATAAAAATCTAAAAACCTGGTGATATTCCCACTATCAAGTAAAAGTTATAATTCTACCAAAGTGTATTTAATAATCATATAAGAACAGATTTTTCTCCTCTAAAGCTTAGAAACAGTTGGCATATTACTGGAAAGATAAAATGTTATTGAATGCTACCATGTATAGTTCCATCATCTGCCATTAAAATTTAGTATGCTCTGGCTAGATCTGGCTAGATGTGGCCCAGTGGTAGAGCACTTAGCTATCATTACTAATGTCATAAGTAAGATTTCCAAGGCATCCCCAAAAAAACACACCTGACACAATGACACATTATCTTAGTTCTCACAGAAGTTACATAGCGGTCAAGATAAAAATGCCCACAAACCGTTTTGTCTTGAGAACTTCTTTCTGGTGCTCAGTCAAAATCCTTGACTTTGCCTCTTTTTCTTCAGGAGGTATGAACACAAAGTCAGTAGATTTTTCCTCTTCCAAAAGCTTATTACTCCTTAATTTTGGAGATGAAGATTCTAATTTCAGCTGTGGGTTTTTAAAAAGATGTGTTTCCAGATTATTTTCTAATTTTTCTATGTTTCCGAACACTATGGTATTATTTTAATTCTAATTACAGTTTGAAATTGACATACATCCTTCTCATCTGAAGATAAGGTCTATTTATGAAGTCCAGGTTAAACTGAACATGAGATTCTGTCTTAGACTACAACTGTTAAGACCAGAAGCACACAAATAAAACAATATTCACAATAAGAAATGCCCTTGGCTTTCTCCTACCTCTAATATTCAGAAGATATAGTAGTAAGCCTTTTAAGAGGTAATTCTATGGAATTAGATATACACGTTTTACTAGGCAACATAAAGTTCTAATCAAAGGATCAAAATTATTGTCATGCAATACACTTTGCTGTTGATTCATCCTTTCAGCTCTCCTCAGGAAAGGTGCCTACATATAATACTGAGAATGACCATGAGGCTAAGCATCATACAGATCTGTCATTACTAAGAAGAAATCACTACAGGTTCTGTAAGGCCTGTATTTAACATTATACCACAAACCCAAAATGTTATTTGGTCTTCCACAGCTCTTTCCTCCAAATAAGAGGGTTTGTGTCCGAAAGCTAGCCAACATGATTTAAAATTCCAGTAAATACACTTTTGAAAACATACTTTGGCCGACAGCTTTGTATTTTCTTTTTTATCCTTAGTCCGTGCCAAAAAGGAGTATCTTTTTCCACTTGATTTTCTTTCCATGCCACTTATCTTGACATTTAATTGTGAATTTTCTGTCTATTAAGAAAAAAAATGAACATATTAAGTATGTCTACTCTTTGCTTCTTTTGATTATCAAAATTACAGTCTAATGATTATTCATTTAAACTGGTATAAAATTTCTTACTATCACTAGGTAGAGAACATAAACATATTCAGCACATTTTTCTTTTACAGCAGATAGAGAATTTTACACACTAAATTATGTTGAACAAATAGTAATAAGCTGTTTTCTCTGGTGAGAATACTTTAGACAAAACAAAAACCCCACAGAAAACCTCTGTAATTTTTCTCCTGATTATAAACAAAAGCACACATTCCTTCCTGAATGGAAAGCTTCATGTGGAATGAGAAACAGGTGGTGTTACTGAATTCTTTCCTGTTCAAATTCTTACTTAAACCAAACTACTCAAATTGAAGTAAAAAAAAATCAACTTACTGCATCTGAATATGGCCCACTGCATTCGTCCATCATTTCAACGTTTTCCAAACCAGGCAACAGAAGCAAAACTTTTTGCTTGGCTTCTCTTAATATTGGTCTTTAAAAATAAGTACAAAGATATTAAGTAAAGTACACTCATAATGTTAAAAATATTAATTATGGGGGGCTGGAGAGATGGCTCAGTGGTTAAGAGCATTGCCTGCTCTTCCAAAGGTCCTGAGTTCAAATCCCAGCAACCACATGGTGGCTCACAACCATCCGTAATGAGGTCTGGTGCCCTCTTCTGGCCAGCAGGCATACACACAGACAGAGTATTGTATACATAATAAATAAATAAATATTTAAAAAAAATTATTAATTATGAATCAGGTTCTCATGAATCCCAGGCTGGCCTCAAACTTGTGATTTAGCTCGATAACCTTGAATTTCTTTCTGAATCCATCATGTCCAGTTTATGCTGTGCTGGCAATAAAGCCCACGGTTTCAGGTACACTAAGGAAATACAGTGCCAGTCCTATTTATAATTGTTATGTAGCAATTATACCTAGTTTATGTATCTTACTTACATGTATACAACACTGAGAAACTAGAAAATATTTTGAGTTTTTCCTCTATACCTTTCACAGCATTCTCTTTCAACTTAAACGTCAAGCAAGGCATATAGCAGGCTTTGTAGCTGTAATTCCAGCATACTAGAAGGTGAGACAGATCACGAAGTGTTCAACATCAAGCTATGCTACAAGTGTGAAACCTTGTCTCAAAATAAACTCAAAATGATAAAAGCAAGCAAACAAACCCCCCACCCGCAAACCCATGAGAGTAGTGGACTGATGGCTTAATGGTTAAAAGCAATGATTGCTCTGACCCTGGTTCAATCTCCAGTATCCACATAGTGCCCCAACCATTCATAACTCCAGTTCCAGGAAATGCAATGCCCTCTTTAGCCTCCAAAACCACCGGGCATGCACATTGTATAAGAATATACTTGCTTAGCCGGGCGGTGGTGGCGCACGCCTTTAATCCCAGCAGAGGCAGGCGGATCTCTGTGAGTTCGAGGCCAGTCTGGTCTACAAAGGGAGTTCCAGGACAGGCTCCAAAGCTACAGAGAAACCCTGT